TTTTCTAAATTTAATTATAAATAAATTAATTAAATTTCCTTTTGAAATGTGTTAAAAACAAGGATGCAATAAGATTTTTTTTAAATATTCTACAAAAGTTAAAAAAGATTATTTTTAATAATTTTTAAACTGTTTATTTAACTTTCTTTTTTCAAATTTCAATTTAATTTATAAAGAGATTAATTACTTTTCTTTTGAAATATGTAAATCAAGATATAATAAAGATTTAAAAATAAAATAATTAAAACTGAGTAGTTAACTTTCCTTTCATTTCTAAATGGATTAACTTAAGTGTTTTCTTTTGAAATGTTGTAAATCAAGGCATAATAGATTTATTTTAATAATTCAATAAAAGTTGTAAGAGAAATTTTTTATAATTATTTAAAAATTAAGAATTCTAGAAAATAGTATGAGGATTTTGAATTTCACAAGACTTTTCTCATTAGAAGCTTCATTTCCTTTAATATATAGTATTATAATTTGATTGGAATGGTGATGCATATAAAACCATAAACATTCAAGAGAAAAAATCTACGCAAAAATGTGCAATTGATTCCGGATATTTAGTTGGTACAAAATGAATTTTTAAAATTGATTAGTTAACTTGCCTTTTCAAATTTCAAATTTAAATTTTTAAATAGATTAATTTAACTTTCCTTTTGAAAGGTGTAATCAGCCATAATAATAAGCGATATTTTTTAAATTGATTAAATAAAAATCTAACTAGGAACATTTTTTTTAATTATTTAAAAATAAAAATTTTAGATAATAGAATTTTTGGTTACAAGGCCTTTTCTATTAAAAATTCCTTTTGCTTAATATATATAGTTTGAGGTGTTAGAAGATAAGCCTAAAATATATTCTACTTATTTTATTGACTTACCTTCATTGTGAGTCCAACCCACTGAAGAAGTTGAAAGACAAATTGAGATCGGAGCTCCTTTGAAAGGAAGGAAGAGGGAGGCATTTTATGAACCAATCCTGTAATTGCTGATATGATGTATTTCTATATTTCCAGAGAGAGCTTCTGTTATGTGTCCCGTGTTGCGATCACACGTTACTCTTTCCCCCAATCAAGCAATCGCTGTGATGGTCTGCTTTCTCATCAACCAGGTAGGGTGAAGATGGTCTGCATCAGCACGTTGGATTGAGGAAGGTCCTTGAATTTCCAATAGACCCTCGCGTCTCTCCTTTCCAAGAACCATCCTATGTTCAACATGACAACGAATCAAAACCATATTAGTAACCACATAATACCAACTTGCCCAGAAAACCCACCCCATTTTTGCAAAAATAAAAATAAAAGGACTATATGAATGTAACCAATAGTTCTTTGTAATATATATATAACATCTATGCTGTAGTATATGCAAGCTTGATTCTAACAACCTTGGATTGGGTGTACAGATGGCAAGCTCCCTGGATCTATGGCTTGATAATATATGGTTGGGTTTAGTGACAAAATGCTATAAATTCTAAAATTAAATTACCAAATTTCTATCTAAATGAATATGCGTCATGTGAGAGATTAACAAAAATATTTTGAATTCATTAGAGAATTTCATGCATTAATCTAGGTCTAGTACCCCAGACTTGGACATTCTTGCCTCGACAACACTACCAAAACTAGACTTTTGATAGTTGACCTCAAATCAATTCTACAACAAGTGATACGCGTAAATGTTTTTACACTGCAAGACTAGGACTTGAAAATATCATCCAGTAGTTTTTTACGAAGTTAATAAAACCAATTTAAGACCATTTAATTATTTAATATTTAAAAAAAACTTCATCAATTAATAATTATTTTTAAACCTACATATGAAATTAAAAAAAGAAAAAAGAAAAAATCAATGCAAGAAAGGACTCCATTGGGAAGCCCACTCCACTCCAGAGTATCCAGACACAAATTGAGAATGTTAGTAGAAAGCACATTGTTTTATTTGTTCTTTTCAGGAATTTGATTTTTATTTAGAGTTATTTACATTAAGGAGCAAATTTCCTTACAGTTTGGAACTTGGTGTCATTTTAATCCATATTGTTCAATTGTAATATATTTGATCCTAAATTTTTGAATTTTGTTTCAATAAGAACAATTAAAGATATCATTGCTTAATTTCAAGGGCCAAAATCATCAATTTTTGATATAAAATATAAACTATTGATAAAAATAAATTGTCAAAAATATATTTTGAATTATTTAAAAAATTAGTTTCTACCTTACTAAAGATAATTATTTAAATGATAAATCTCTTTAGACATTTATTTATTTTTTTTACTAAATTAATTTTTA